AAACATACACATTTAGATATATCTAATGAGAAAAATATAGATGTACATAAAAAATTCTATCGCATTTTGCAAATACATTGATGCACCAGTGTGCAAAGATTATTATCAACCTATTTTGTTATTTTACGTACAAAAGGATATAAAAAATAAATTATCATAGATCGAATATTTTTCAAGATATTTTATATTTTAAACTGAAAAGTAAATCAGAGTAAAAATATCTGAGGATGTAAGGAATCTATTTATGTAAAAAAAAAAGAAAACTATAATTCTGTTCAAAAAATTCAAAGTGACCTTGACATGACCTTAATAAAACTGCTTCAATTTTTTGGGATCGAAATGTGTCCTCTTAACAAAAATACAAAAAGCGAAATCTCTTTATCTCGCTTAATTTAAGAGATATTCAAATATGTTCAATAAAATGGGACACTCTGTATATGTAAAATACTTTTATATATAAATTCTGAAATCTTTTTTTAACTTAGAAATTTATGTAACATAACTCTTATTACAAACTTATGAAACCTATGTAACATATAACATAATCAGTAAAGTAGTGTAGTTGCGATAATTACATATTTAATATAATTTATTGCTTGTATATAAAATGTAAATTATATTCTTTCGGATATTGCAAAATTAATTCATAATTATTGGGAGTACAAATTAGTTCGGTCCGTTTTTTGTGGTCAAAAATGCATTTATTTCAGAACAAAATGAATGAACAGATTTATTAAAGTATTGTCCATCGCTGGCTACTACTTTTTCCCACCTCTCAGACGATTTTCGAATTCCATCTCGAAAAAATGTATCGTCTTTTGAGGCGATCGAAGTTAAGAGCCAATTTTCGATTTCTGCGAAAGAAGTGAACCGGTGACCTGCCAAATCGTGCTGCATCCTTCGGAACAACCAGTAATCAGAAGGAGCAATGTCCAGCGAATACGGCGGGTGCGGTAAAATATCCTACTTGAACGTTTCCAAATAATTTTTTACGACTTTTTCGACGTGAGGCCGGCGATATAGCGATACCGGCGAATACAGCATTGCTGTGTGTTTAATACATTTAAACATATTTATACTATAATTATAATATAAAATGAATGCAAGAGGTGATATCTTGTGTACGTTTGCTACATGCAAAAATATTTATGGACAAAGAGAAAATAAAATGATTCTTACGATTTTCGAAGGATAGTGAAGGTATGTTAAGGTTACGTAAAAAATTATCACATGTACATATTGATATTAATATTTATAGACTTTAAAAGCTTCTATACAATCATATATAGGATTTCTTTGAATTTTACAATTATTTTACGCGAAACAATACGTCTCTTGATGTTCAAATTCAGCGCCCAGACAATCTATAACATGGCTGACAATCACATAATCGATGACCACTAACATCAAAGGAGCCGACAGTTACTGTAGCAATTGTATGTAGTTAAACTGTGTTATTGCTCTCTCACTTTAATGTTGTCTTTAATTCCTCTCACGGGAGGCGCAGTCTATCTGTACAAGGTTTGTCCGGAAAATAATGTCAGTTATTCTTTTTTTACGCGACTGACCGTCAGAGCGCGCTCGGATCGGTTGGGAATGGTAGAGGGGGAAGTCAACTAACGAATGTTGAGTCACTCAGTCTTCTCCCGCCAGCCGCATAGTAAGGATATGCGTTTCCGTGGAAGTCGTTTTGTGACCTCGTGCAAGTAAAAATGCAGCGCTCGTTAGAACAAGGAATGGCGATTATTGCGTTGATGGCCAAAGCAGGGGTGCCAACGATTCCCCAGCCTCCGCACAGTCCGGACGTCGTTCCCCCCGACTTCTTTATGTTTCCACGCCTGAAAGGTTCCATGAAAGGTAAGCATTTCGAGACCATTGAAGGGATCCAAGCAGCTTGCACCGCGGCTTTAAAGGACATTCCGGAGGAAGCCTACCGTAGCGCATTCGATGTCGGAAAAACTCGCTGGAGCCGATGTGTCAACGCAGGAGGAGCCTATTTTGAAAAATTTTGATGTGTTGTAACGAAAAGTTCAATAAATTTTTTTTAATCGACTCAATAACATTACTTTGAGAGGAAAAGGGTTAATCTCAATCCCCAATTCTTAGCCTGATACGGGCTTAATTTGCGTAAGTATAACTTGTGTCAGCCAATCATATCGTCTCAATTATCCAATTAGCAATTACTTTAGCAGATTTGATTGGCTGACATAAATTACGCTTACGCAAGTTACGCCGCATAGAGAGGCAGTCTAAAGCCGGTATTCATAGTTGGATCTTACATCAAAGACCGTCTCAAGTTCATCTTCAGATACTTCGTAGCCAATGAGCCGTACAGCATCTGAGGATGAACTTAAGACAGCTTTTGATACAAGATGTGACTATGAATACAGGCCTAAGAGCTGTTCTTATATCCGTGCGATAAAGTTGAGCGATACAGTATCGATACATAGAGAAATAGGTGTTTTCCCCAGAAAAAATATGGTTTTTCTCATCATTTGTGGGGGAAAATTATTTTCGATACTATATCAAACTCAAATATTGATACTATATCGCCCAATTCTACCGCACGGGTGATGCCTTAAGCCCGTATCAGACTGGGATTGGATTGAATTTGACCAATCAGAGCAAACTTAACTAAACTTAAGTTTAGCGAACTTTCGTTTCGATTCGTCAAATTTCTATTCAATCTCATTCCTAATTCGTAGTGTGACACGGTTCCTTGTTAAAAATATAATGACGCAATAGCGCTGATAGTGTGCTCCTCGAACGCAGTTTAAGTGCAGAAAGTACAAGAGTTTTACACCGAGTACCGTTGCACTTCGAATAAGAATAACGACCATTGGTATGCTGCTGGAAAGAAGTCAACATTTTTTATATCGAATTAATTGAACGTGCACTGGTTTTTGTTCTCATATTTCCTATTCTTGTTATTGATTACACACTGACAATGCTGCTACATTATCATAGTCTATTCAATGAGTGCTTGTTTTTGTCATGGTGGTAGCGCTGACTGAACTGACGTCATGGTTGAGTTCCGAAATTGAAATCAATAAGCGATGTGCAATGTTGTGTGTACATCACGGATGGTGGGAAATGGCGATTATGTCAAAACAGCGTGTTAGATCTCATTGTGTTTGATTTCACTGGGTCGACGAAGCATATATTCGTTAGCAAAATGGCTCGCAACACCAAGAAGAAACTCGCGATATTTGCGGGTACATCCAAGTGTCTCATTTACGTAAGTTGCTTTTGCGCCAGTAGACTAAATTCACTTTTTCTCATCTGTCTTTTATGATAAAAAAATTACCTACAAAGATTAGAAATTTGTAATTGACTCTCAACTCATGTAAATTTCATATTAATAATATTTGTTATAACATTGCATGCTTAGATTGAATTTTGTTATTTTTGCATGGATTTTGTGAAATATTATGAATATTGTGAATTATTTTTTAGGCAGAAGCAAAGTACTGTGCCTCTGAAATACCCGGAGAAATAAAGTATTATGAGTGAGTTATGTTTTTTAACATTTATATATCAGTCTACTTTTTTGTTAGCTATGTTTATATATATATATTAACTTATTATATATCTATGTATTGTAATATTATATTTTTCATGTATATTGAAATATATTTCTATATTATTAATGCAACATTTGCAGATGTTCAAGAACAGAATATTGTTGCGCACTTGGTTGTTGTATATCACCAGGACTCCATTTCCATCATTTATGGTACTATTGGTAAGTAGAATCATATTTATATCCAATTGTTTGATAGATGAAATAGAATAAAATAATGAACTAAAACAATTTTGATTGCTATTTTGATACTTGGCATCATTTCTAACAAGTTGTGCACTTTATGTAATTATTATATCTACCAACATTCTTGTTTGTATAATTTTGTAAATTTTACTTTTATGCAATCTATAAATAAAACATCGTTGCTGATGATTTTTTCAGGATTCTGGTTATAATCATGTTCCTGGTATGTTCTGGTGGTGGCTGGTGGTACCGGTATTGGCTGCAAGGCAGATATAGAGCAGCTGCTTCTGCTATTCCAACTCGATCTTCCAACACTAGTAGATCCCAAAATACTCTTCGCAACACACCCTGTCAGGCGCAGCAGGCTCGCATTACATACAACTCTGCAAGAAATACCGTCCTGTTACATCGCATGTGGAAAGGTTCGTATTTCCCTGCCTGATTAAAGTATCACGCATTTTCTCAAGGATTTGTCTCATAAGCAAAAAAACAGAAGCACAGGGCTCCGATAGGTCACTGTGATTTTCCCCTCGAAACAGGTCCTCAAAGAAACGCAGCAGCGCCGGCGTACAACGGCAACGCGACCACGTCGTCGCATTATCAGAACATGAATGTTGTATTGAACGATGCCAACTGTCCCTACTACCAATTATACGGCCCCCCGCCGAGCTACGAGACGGTGATAGCTCAGACGCGCGGCAAGATCTCGAATCCGGCGTCGCCGGAGTCGTCGGGCGCGCGGATGGGCCTGCCGACGGCGAATGTGATACCGAATCCGAGTGTACCGCAGTGCTTTTTTTACACTTGTAACTCCCCGCCGAGATTGGCGGACGGTGGCGCGAATCAATGTCAAAGTGACACCGCGAACACACGGCAGCTCGAGAATCACGAAGGCGTGCCGTTCGCGCATTTCTCGCAGTACTGCGTCGTGAACGGCGCGATCGGTCAGAACGTGTGCGTGCCTTTGGAGTACCCAGAGGCGCCGGCCGCTTCCGGCGGCTTATCGTTCGGCCACAATTATCAGACCACCAGCCCGAACCGGCTGCCAGGATATCCGGCGGAAAACGCGCCGGCTCCCAGCTTCGCTGTGCAGGGCGCGGAGCAGGGATACGAGCAATCTGGCAACCCATGGCGCGCGGCGGACGAGCGAACGCCGCCGAAGATCCACTCTAAAATCACCGTGCAGGGCGAGGAGGATCGTCGGGACGGCGGCGACGAGAAGGAACGCGCGTCGGTAGCCGGAGGGAGGAACAGGAATTACGGCGGCTCCCTGCGATTACCGCGCAGACACGCCGGCGGCGATAGCTTCCAGAGAGTATTCCCCGAGGACTCGTCGGCCGCTCTCGATTCCACGGCGGAACGGCCGCACGCGAGCTCTTCTCAATCAAATCCATCCAATAATGTGATACTAGAAACGTTTATTTTTGACAACGCGCCGGCCCCGCGCCTCGACACCGAGGCGGCGCGCGATCCTCGTGCAATGAATCGCAGTACAAACTTTGATCTTGAAAGTAAACACAAATTAGACAGATCGAAGTCGCTAGACTGAAGAGAACGCTCGCGTCGCGAGCTCTTATCGCCGTAACCGACGCGACGCTTATTATTCTCGTATGTTTCTCTCCGTTCGTTCGCGCGTAACTCGTACAAAATTCGACCGGCGGCTCTCTCCGTCGCGATTCTCCGGATATATCATATCGCGCTCGGGAGATACGGCGATTCCGCTTGCAACGCGACAATTCGACTTTCTTTCTTATAACGTGCACTCGAGTCGACTTGATTATCGTGTCCGACGATTATCGGATTTCTCGTGTCTCACGGATATATAAAGGTATGTATCCTTCGTCGACATTATCGGCGCGCGAGGAATTAGCGAAACCTAAATGCTAGACGTTAGACTTTAAAGATCGCACTTCCGCAGTATTTTTTGCAAGTAATACCGCAACTCCAAAGCTATACTATTTTGATGACCTATTGATACTCTTAATATATCGTCTAGATGTAACAGAGAAAGAGAGATGATATAATTCTATTTACATACGCCGGCGAAGTATTTTATTTTCGATGTCTCTGCAATACCGCATACTGCCATATACGGAAAGGTCTTTTTGAACGTTGTATCTCGGATTCTGAGTTTGATCTCTGCACACTGTATACCTAAGTAACGTAACTTAAGATCTCGGAGAGAAAACAATAAAGCAGAAAGGACAAAAAAAAGTGTTATCTCCAATGGCTCAATTTTAACCCACTCACGCACAAAAGGAACAAAGAATATCGGTGATTGCGTTTCATTACACTCTACGTCTCTAATGGTATTCGATGAGCCAATAATTATCGCACATTTCTTAATCCTCGAATGAAAGCGCACTTAACGAAGCGAGTCTCTATTGAGGATAAGGTCTCTATTGGTATAAAGGGAGAGAGACAGAGAGAGAGAGAGAGAGAGAGAGAGAGAGAGAGAGAGAAGCAGATTCGTTTTAAATATTATTCGTATAAATTTCGACGTGTATTTTCTAACGATAATATCGATATCGAACTCGACGACGCCGAGAGATGGTCTCACCTTCGAACAGTATTTCCGTCAAAGTCCTCTGGATATATTTAAGCCTCTATTATATATGTGCACATAAATATTATCTCGATACTAAGGAGTGCGTAAGTTCCATTACACTACACGCTGCACACGTACTTGATGTTAAGACAGACAGTTATCCGAAGGAACTCTAGTTTATTTATGAAGCGGGAGTTACACCGTTTATAACAAAAAGAAGAAGAAAGGAAGAAAATAAAACGGTGGCTACTCCAGTGAGCGGCGCCGTGTTATTAAAAGAGACGTTCAGATGCCGGCGAGGTGACGCGCGAAGTACATTAGCGTATGAACATTTGAGAAGTGAGGAGTCGCGTTGCACATAAATATGCGGGAGAGCAACTCGTTACTTAACCCGATTTAATTGCGCCTTCGTAAAAAGCGCGACGCGTTCGTTTTCTCGTGTAACCACGCGGGTGTCGTTCTCCTCGATATCCTAATAAACCACGGAACATCAGTTACGTTACATCTGTGTTATAATTTCTCATTCAATAATGTAAATGTAATATAACCATATGTGATATATTTACATGGTCGAGTGAGAAATTGTAACATAGATGTGATGTAACTGATGCTCGGTGTTTATTGGCATATTTTTACTTCCATTTCTTTTCCGTACATTACATGCACATATACACATAGAAATTTACACAGATGCGCACGCATACACATATACTCAATAAGCGAGAAACATTAAATCAATTTTTCGAAACATTGATTTTGTGTGAATTTTATAAACATTTTGACATAATATTTCACAAATATTTTTCAATCGTTACCTGATAATGCAATATTCTTAAATATTAAATATCATAATGTGGAAAATGTTATTTTTAATGTTTGAGTAAAATATTATCAACAACGACATTGTATATAACATTAAGAACTGCATATTTGAAAACGTTACATGCTATAGGATATTGTAATAACGTTGTGTTCATAATTTCTTGCTTACTGGGTATATATTCTAGTAAACACCAACTAACAATAACATTACAATATAATAATTTCCCACTCAACATTGTTACATAGAACGCATATCACATTGCAGTTACATTGTTGGGTGAGAAATTATAATATTAGTTGATGTAATACTACTATTAGTGTGTGTGTACACACACACACACACACACACCGTGCAAGGCGAAAGACTGTCTTCTTGTTCTGTGACATGAATATTTTGATTTATTCCACTTTTATCGATGTGCGATGCAAGAGAGAGAGAGCGACGCCCTGGGAACATTAACTTGCAGTCGTCCAAATCCACCAGTCGGAGACGAATTGCATTGAGCGATTGGTTCATATATATTCTATATATATATATATATATATATATGTATATATATATATATATATATATATACACCTTCTTCGCGATTATTCTTTTATACTGCACATAAATACATAAACAATATACGCGCGTGCACGTGCGCGCGCAATCAATGTTTAAGGTCACAGGATACCACGTCAAGCGTACTAATCCTTCAACTTATAGGTTCTTGAACGTGATAGCGGTCCAAGAAACGCGTGTACGTGCCAATAGCGAACAAAGTCGAGTCCGTTAGATAGGCGAGGTCGCGGGATCTCGCACAGCCAAGGAGGTCTTACCTTTAAAGAAGGAAAAAAAAAAGAAATGCAAAGTGAAAATAAGAGAGATATATATACACAATTATTTTTTGTAACCAATCCTAATTCGTAAAATCGGGCTGTTTAACGGGTCCGCGTGATTATACCGTGTAAGCTTGTACTATTGTATATCTCGTATGTAATATATACCGTCATGAGTCTCTACGAGAATTTCTAGAAGGTCAGAAGCCACTATATTTTGTGTGCGTGCGTATAGCCTGCGCGTTATATCGTACAGCTTTAATAAGCTCTAGTCTGAAGGAATCTTCTCACCGTAATGTGCAATCATGTATTCGCGCGAAACCGACAACACTGTAAGATACTGTAACTAATATGGTAAGAATGTCTGTCCGAAATAAAGACACGAAATATTTATTCACGTACACACCCAAGATAATCTGCATTCCGCGCGTCGATACCTTTCAATAACGCGATAGTCTATCCGTTTTGAGCACGTGCGCGTGAATGTGGAAAATTCGTCGATAGACGAAAATAGCGGATAACGATGACGAGTAGTTCGATTGGACACAGTACGTGCTGTTGCGTAATAAAATAAAATTAATAAAAAATCGGCTACGAATCCAATGAGCTTTAGCAAGTTCTTAACAGATAAGAGGCGAGCGTAGAAGTTCGAATCTACACAGAGTAAGATATTCTGCTAAGAGAAATGTTTACTCAATTTATTTTCTTTTTTCTAACTAATGATAATTTTCGACGAAAAATATTTTCTTGATATTAATCTTAAAATTTCATATTCATCGCCAATTTTAGAAAAGCTTCTATACTCAAAAGAATATTCTTTCTTCGAGAATGTTATAAACTTGAATTTAATATAAATATAAATATAATAGATAAATTGAATTAAATTGAAGTACTAAACTTAGTAGGATTTAAAATATATTTTGAATAAATTTGTCATATTTATGATAAATTTATGATATATTTGCGGATATACATATATATATATATATATATATATACATAAACTTATGAAACAAATATATAACATTTACTTGAATGCAATATATATTTTTCTGTGTTGATATCCTTCGAGTTACTGTCGCTCGGTAATATCGCAAGTAAACGTACTTGACTGCTAGACTTGATCGTTTTTTCACATGTTCTTAAATTCACGAGCTTAAGCCATCTCGAACTGAAGCGAATATTGTTCTGAAAGTCTTTTCCGAGCTTAATGTGCCAATTGATTAAATATTGAAATCAATTAAAAATCAATATACCGAATCGACTGTGCAACGATCAAACAGTATTTACGGAACAATGGGAATTCTCTGAGAAAGATACACAACTAAAGAGACTACGTAGTAATTATAATCAATTATTCATTCGGAATTATTTATTCATTCAATTCAGAATTATTATTCATTCGATTATTCAGAAACGGAAGAGAAATACGTTGAAGCAAATGGCGCGTGGGACGCGCGATTCAAATGGCATCAAATTATCCGCCCCGATCAGTTCGTCCCTCCTCATTGAAGATTCACTAGTGCGAAGGACTAGCGAAATCGCCGCTCTTTCAAATCCGTCGAATCGACCACGGTTAACGAAGCAAAAATACCCGCGTATCGCGGTACTTGTCACGTGGCGGTGATAAGAGATGGCAGGTGCACGCGCACCAGCGAGAAATCAATATAAACGGAATTCGCGCGGGGGCGGCAGGCAGGGCGAGAAAGAGAGTGAGGAGAGAGCGGGGTGACCGTGGGGAGGAGGGATTGGGGGAGCGAAGGGCGGTAAAACATCCCCCATGAGAGAGAGGCGGCCGCCGAAAGCCGATTGCAGCTACGTTTTAGCGGCCACGCTGGCGAAAACGGCGAAAAATGTCGTAGTCCCGAGTAACAAGCGAGACCAGCAGTAACCCAGTGAAATCTCCGCTCCTTCTCCGCGCCTCTCGCCGTCTTAACACCTCTCCGTCTGTCCGTCGGCCCTCGCGGCAATCGCTGCCCCCGACTCTCTCGCGTGTTCCGCCCTCAATGGTGAATCAATAATTAAGGTGACAGTGCAGTGGTTGCGCGATCGTGTGCCGGGCCAAGATGTCGGTGAAGGTGAGTCCTCGGGCATGCATCCGCGACAGGCGACGAACGTTCCCAGACGATCCTCCCGGTCGGTCGACCAACGGGGACGTGCTCGAAAGCCCGAGATCGACCCGCGAACGCGCTCCCGACCGCCCTCCGCTGGGAACATCGTTGTTATGTAACGCGATGCATGCTTTCAATCGACGCTCTTTTCGGTATAGCGCGGCGTAGGGTCGACGCGCGGTGCGACGGAGTCCGGCTTCTGCGAGCGACGGTTATGTGAGCCCCTCGGCGCCTCGCGGCTCTAATAACGCTTAATTAGTCCACTGCTGCTGACGAGAGAGAGAGAGAGAGAGACCGTAGGTCATGGCTCGTGCCAGCGAGCGGATCGAATTACGGGCGATTTTACCTTGCCCCGAGTGCGAACGCGCGTTTCACTCGTGCGAGTGTAATTCGAGACGTCACGACGCGCCGTTAGTCTGGATCTACGGTAGATGCAGAAGGTCTTTGGATGTAAGCGACTAAACGTAATCCCTACGACGAAAGATGCCTTTCGCGCTGCGAAATGTTGTGATAACGCTTGGATCTCGGGAATTGTAACGTCTGGTAGCGTTGCGGAAACTCCGTTACGATTTAGCATTAGCTCTGGGCTTTCGCACACGAATTACCGTAACCGTAAATACAAGACGTAAATTTAGGCTGAAGGAGCAATCGGGATGTTACTTTAGATTTGTATACTCGGGAAGAAGATGGAAATGGTGTAACTGGGATTCAGATCGATTAATTAGGATTTTAGCCAGTCGAATTCTAAGTACTTCTGCTTACGATCAGATTTACCGTCGGTTCTATCCTCGTTCAGGTTACATAAAAACAATATTCTGATTGGCTCTTCAATCTGAACTCACGTCTTATGCTTGCTGTTGTGGCGATTCATGTGCAAAAATCTTGAAAACAAAAGACTAAAGTCTCACTATATCTATATACGCAGAAAATATTGTAGTAAAAATTACCGCACAATTTTGTAATGCTGAGTTATACCAGAGTTATCGTTAAATTATCGTTAAAATTATTATGTATGTTGTAATTTTTGGTAATGTGTACATACGATATACATCACTAAACACGTACAGTATCATACACAGTGGAAAATTTTCTATTTAATTTAACATTTCAAATATATCCCAAACGATCCACGCAAGCTTGAAGAACAATCGATTTTAACACAAGTACAAAATGTTTTTTCCTGGTGTAATTTCAGTCATAATTCCGGTATGGTCCATAGCATTATAAAATGTTGCGGTAATTTTCAGCATTTTTCTGGATATTTTCTCCATATAGTAGATCCGGACTTACTCGACGTGTAGCACATCCCTCGTCCCCAAACGACGGTGCATTCGCGCCTGGTCGTATGCAACCTGCGAGCACGAGCTCGACGCGTGTCGCGGACGCGTGCGCTCCGGCTGCGAGAATACGAATTTTCTACTTAGCCGAAGAAGCTCTTTCCTCTCCAGTATTACTCGAACTGTTAATAACCGTCTTTTTCCAAGGCACCACGAGATGGATCCTCTCTTTTTACGAGATGCTCCGGTGTCCTCGGTTTTATCCTTCCGCGATATCCGCGCGCTTCCCGTTGCTCTTCTTACGGCGTGCGCACGACGCCGTCGTACGCAGTCCGCCGCAGCGCGTCGAGCCGCGAAATATTTTAATGGTAATAACTGGCCGGTCACAAGTGTTCGCTTCCTGCTGAAGCGAACACTTCAGCGAAGATGAAAGCGAGGGGCCCGCGAAAGACACACGCAGCAACGCGTGCGCCATCGAGCGCGCGCGCTTTTCGGCGAGCGGCGCGCGCACGACGCGTGCAGGCGGGCGATTTCAGTTCGCGCGTCGCCTCGTCGCCGATTAGACTCGGTTTCCTCCGAAGATCGGAGCGCATCGTTTCACGGCTCTGCGATCCTCGAAAGCGATGTCGGGCTGACGGCTCTCGTGCACCTCTCTTGCTTCACGTTTCTTCATCGAAGCTCACACAATCAGAAGGTCTGTCGATCACGTGCTATTTTTATTATTATGTGCTAATTCGCAATTATGCAGCAGTCCAATTACGTCCCAAGGTGCTTCGGCGCGTCGCATTTTGTGTTACATCGCGCGCGCAAATAGACAAAATCCGAGGACGAGTGCGACACGCGTTCGCAAAATTTCGCCCTGAGCATAATTTCGCGCTGAGGATGAGCTCGCGAGTTATCACGCTTCAGTATTCGAACAAGCGCGATTTTGATGCTCTTCGCCGTGAACTCGGTCGGCGCGGCGCGTATCGGAAACGCATTTACGTCAAATGTTTTTCTATTGGAGATTCTCCGGGAGGTTTCTTATTGAGAGACCCAGTTTATTTCAAGAAGTGATTTTGCAATCGTAACGAAAATTGTCTAGATACGAGAAATTAGCTAAAATAGATAAACGTCTAGCAAACATTTCAGTGTCACATGTGTGTTGCATCTAATCGATATAAACGACAGAATTTTTCTCTGAATTATTCGTCCACTTTAGCAAGAAAATCTCTCTGTAAAGCTCATCTTGGATTAAGGCCAGTCATATTTTTTATTAATAATTAGTAGCAGGACATAAATTTTCTTACACATATTGCTAAAATGTTACTATAAATTATAGCGCAGGTAATTTTCTAACAGATACAAAAGACATCGATACATTTTACCTGTGACATTCCAGGTAGATCAGCAAAACATTTCCCTGAATGTTGGGTTGCATCGATCGGAAAACAGGTAGTCAAACGGCGATTTCGTTGAAGGAAACCAAATTCCTGGTCATAAGAACTAAATTTTGTTTTATTCAACTTAATTTGGCTCTTATAGTAAGGAATTTTATTCCCTTCGACTAAATTGCGTTTATTAACCGTTTTCCAACTGATGTAACCAAGCTGGTTTCTCAGTACTGTTTATGCACTCTATTGTTACGCAGAACGGCGGTAGTTTTTCCTCTGGTAACGTGCAAGTGAAAAATAAGCTTCATAAGTGATATACGACAAGTAGAAGAAGGCGGTGAATGTAAAAACGAGAGGAAGAGAGAGAGCGACGGAAAGAGGGAGCCTGCCATGACGTTGGCGGTCCCCGAAGCAGCATGCGATGTATTTATAAATCTGTCATCTGCTTTGGTTTACGATGACGTGAATGTTATCAGAGAATCTCGTCTTGAGCGAAGGCTGCGGTGAAATGCGTCAACGCACGCACACTTTGACAGTCCGATGCTGGCACGCGCCGCGTTCGGATATGAGTGGCACGTACCAGCCGCAATAACACTCGGTACGATATTTCCGCGTTTCCTGCGAAACGTCGAGTAAGATATGCGAATCCTCGCTGTTGATAAGCGCGCGAGAGGGTCACACAGCGTCGAATGACAAACGACTCCGCGGCGGTCCGAGCGGTGATCCGAGAGGGCGGCGTATTTTTAGTACGTTCTAAAACCGTAGCGCTGCCGAGATTCGCGCCAAATCTTCGCGAGCGGATCCCACCCGACGAGCGATTGAGCCGGCCGCGTGCGCGACTTTTGTACTCGCGAAAATCGCGATTTTCCGCATTCGAGGTCGGTTTGTCGCGGCGCTCTTTTGTGCAAGTTGAATTCTGGAGCGGAAACAACGACGGAGCAGCGGACGACATCGAGAGGGCGACTTCGCGCGAAAGCTGAAAGCCGCGCGACGATCGTTAGCGTGCCGGGCGCGCGCTCACGGACGAGTAACTCGCGAATTGTGTGAAAACGCAATCTTTCATCATCGCGCATTTCGACGTATTTCATTGCGACCGGCGCCTAATAGACTGCGTTTTTTTTCACGTGCCGGCGCGTCGCGACGAAGCGGCAGAGAGAGCATCGCCGGTGCTTGAATTGGGATCATTGCGTCTATTATATTTCCGCTCGCGGCGCGTTGTGTTGCAAAAACAAATGTTCGCGGCGCGGTCGACAAGCCACGGGTGTGAAGCGTGCGCGTCATTCGCGCGGGATTTCCCGGAGGATCTTCCGCGCGAAGTGCTTCCGCACTTCCGCGAACGACGTTTTCTTAGGTCTTTCCGTCGCCGCACGGCGCCTGGCTTGCACCGAAGTTCCGGAACCGCGTTAATTTTCCGCATTTCCCGGAGAAGCTGTCAGATCTCAAGTCGGAATTTCCAGTTCCACATTAAGTCCGTTTAATTCCATTTGGTCTTCAAGGATCTTGTATTGCGTTCCCTTTGACGTTACAAACGGGGAGTTATTTCCGTTTTTTTTCCCACTCGAAGACTTAATGTAGGATTTGAGATTTTCTCCCGAGAGCCCGAGTCGAAATTTCAGTCCTGCTTGAAGTTTAATTTAAATCTACATTAAGCGTTCGAAGGTCTTCTATTGTGTTCCTTTGATACTACAAATGGGAAAGTAATTTCCCAATTTGCAGCATCGAAAGAGTACGATAGATGTGGAACTATTCAAATTAGACTTAAAGTAGGAGGAAATTTTCGACTCCGGGAGTTGCCTCGCTCCGTCATTGCGTCGCGTTAGCGATTCGCGGGAGAATTATGCGCATTACGTAAAAGTTACGCGTCGCAGATCATCGGGTTTCATGCGCCGTACAAGCGTCGCGCGTTTCGAGTAGGTGGGCATTTCTCATGGTAATGTTGCGAACAATTCCGCGGGTGAAGGGTGACGCGTCCCGCATAAAAGCAATTCAAATCTAACGTTAACGACGCCCGTGGCAACACGTGGACGGTAAAGCCGTGAATAAGACGATTAAGATACGCGGCGGAACGACGCGACTATGAATTAACGGTGAAGCGGCGGTGAAGAGGGAACGCTAACGATCGCGAATGATCCGCCGCTGTGGGATTAATTCAAGTGTAAAATTCTCTGTCTTGTGGAAAAAAATGTCGCGATAAGTTAAAGAACTCAGTTTCTTATCGTTACGTAAAGGTATACGCGCGCGCGGCCTTCTACCATTGAAGAACTACACGCCTTATCGCGTCCATGTGTGACAATCTATAGATGCCTGTATATCTTCGTTGTATTCGCGTATTTCGACGAAACGTTTCTAGGCACGTTATTCCTGAGGAATATTTAAAACATTTAACAGAAACAAAAGTCGATCTTTTTGGAGTTCTAGACTGGAATATCTCCTTAAATCTTAGGTATCGTGATGCTATGTCTGCTTTTTACGAGAAATTACGTTACAATTTAACGATTAGCGCAAAATACTAAGGGCTTATTACACTTATTATAGATCCAGACTTAGGCGAGGCTCAAGCTCGATGTATTACATGTGAGTTAAAATTGGAAAAATACTAGTCATGGATGCGAGACTAGAGATATATTGCGAATAAACACGAGGACAAAAGCTAATGAGGAGCTAATGAAGATTATTATCATTACTGCTTTTAATTAACTCCTCCTCTGTCCTCCGTCTCTTACAGTATACAAAGCGAGGTGAGTGTGTTTGACGAGAGACGCGCGTGTTCTGAAATTAGCGTATTTCGCTAACATTTTTCTCGTGAAATGTGAGCTTTCGTCCGGTAAATAATTTCGTTTAATCTTTATTTGTCATTCGTCGTAATTTATAAACTCTCTGAACAGCAAATTTCTCTCTCTCTCTCTCTCTCCCTCTCTCTCTATCTCCTCTCTTAACTATATTAATTCAATATTTCTCTCTTCAATTTAATGATTTAATTATTGAAATACTGAATGATTAGCAGTATTTAATTATTAATAAATTAATAATTAAATTTATATATTCAATGACTGCCTTTCATCCGTGTACAAAGATACGCATAATGTATGCCATATATTACCACATTAGTGGCTTCTCTCTCGACGCATTCAATAAATAACGACACGTCAATTCTGATATTTATATGTACTCGTCGATTATTCCGACGAGAGCGCTCGCAATTGCGCGAACGTTTCGGGATGGAATAGAAACAAAGAAATCTGCACTTTCTCGTTATCGCCGATGGCAATGCCGAAAGTGGTGCGCGCTCTGGTCGTAAGAACGTCGCGATCAAATATTTTCGGCACACCGAGCGCAATGATCGCGATTGCGCATACTGGCGATTTATGACCGACTAATTGTCTTATCTTGAACAGACACGAGACACTGCTCGCTGCTGCTTTTATCTTTGTTTGCAAGATCCGTAATCGCTATAGAGCTAAGAAAATATTGAACATTTACACGAGCGTCCATCGCGAGATATCTTTCTATCGTGACGCTGATACTCACCACCCTGCGAGATTCCGCCGACCATTCGCGTCGGATCCTTTAATATACAGTCACAGCTTAATATAAGTTTCTCTTTACGACGCCATATGCGAGCCGTAAAGATGAAATTCTTTATTTATTATCGTAACTTTGCGCGACCCCGCGTATCGATGGACCGCGTGCACGTCTCGAAATCGGCGGCTGCAACGTTCTTTGTAAATATCGGTTTTAACGCGCACATCTCCATCTCCTCGTGCATGTTGTTCAGATGACGAGGTACAAACCGGCCGAATTCGAGGATGAGGAGAGCAGCAGCATCGGCTCGGTCACCCTAAATAGCGAAGGCATCAGCACATCCGCCACGCATATACGATATCATTCGGTGAGCTTCCCAGATCCGCTGGTATTAATAACGTTTTTCCGATAAGGCAGATTAGCACCGAACGGAGAAAATCAGCCCCGCTTTTGTGAACTAGAGTTCGCGTTCAAACGGAAATATGTTTCCGTAACTTATCATTTTTTTTTCAGTACAGGGCGAAGTAATAATTATTATCGCCTTAAATATCTTCGAAATGTGAAAATAGAAGAAAAATTTATCTCGAGAAATCTAACGGAAATCTGATAGAAATGTAATAATTTATTTAACAGAAATTGCATTGATACCAACACTGATCATCATCAGGGCTAATATCTTCTTTAGAAAGCTTTGACATACGGATCTCGAATCTTCAGAGATTCGAAGCTCAAATGCTCATTATTCGAATTTCGAAAGTATTGAAGCTTCGAAACATGTTACTTTGCGTCTCCGCCGAAATTTTCCATTTTTTATATTTGCTATTTAAGTCGAATGTAAACGCAGCGGGAAAAACATATTTCTCGTTACATAAAAGTGACTAAATATGTCTGGTACATCTGTTCATTTACAAAAGTTCATTTGCAAAATTTCTCAGTATTCCTTGAGTAAAATATACGTAGACATTCGAAGCTTCGGAAGATTGCGGACTTTGAAAACGAACCTTTGAACTTCGCGTTGCCAAATTTTGAAAGTTTGAAATTTCCTTCAAAGCTTGGAATCCTTTCGAAGCTTCGAGACTTCAGAATTGTCGAAGTTTAACAGCCCTCGTCATCACTTCGAACACTTCGGACTTTTGTAAATGTAAACTTTTCATCTTCACTTAGTTGTGAATGAAATATTTTTACTTTTCGAAGTTATCCAAGGTAGTGATAATTCTTGCATCACCCTGTGCATAATATTTTTATTCATGTCAGCGAATATTCTCTGGAAGGGATAAAATAACTCATTATCAAAATATCCTTCTATTTCTTATCCTTGGAGACGAGTACTTGACGCAAATGATCGAAAGCCGCGGTCATTAAATTACGATAACGATCGCAAATCATCGTTTCGTCTTATCAACCGACATGTTCCCGCTGTTCCAGGCTCCGACGCTATGGAAAGCAAGAAGTATTTTGGAGAGATGTCTTTTAATAATTTGCACTACTTTGCTATTAATAGTGATGATACTTATCAGCGTGATCAGCCACAGGTCTCGCTGGGACGAGGCGCAGATCCTTCATGTCACCTCTCACGGAGAAGGTAAGAGGACGATCGACAATCATCCCTTCCCTTCCTCCCCCTCGTGACGACGAGAGAGAAAAAGAAAAGAAGTGAGAAATCAATTCACCATTCCTCGTACGCGAGGAAAGAATTCACGCGCGGAGAAAAAGTGCTAGTTTCAAGTGAACAATTACTCCAATACTTCTTAGCACATTTTTCGATTTAGTAAATATATATTTTACTTGGATAATATTTTCTTGGAGAATATTTTGCTTGGATCAGGTAAAGTATATAAAGGTGAAAATTTGTTACGGAGTATTGGAGTAATTACTTACTTGAATCTGGCATTTGTTTCTTCCGTGCATGATCTCGCGATTTTCTGTCATTCGGCACGATAGCAACGAGGAAAAGTGAGCAAGTTGAACATTGTTGCAGAAGGCACGCATTGTCTCACGGAACATTGTGTAACGGTGGCGGCGTCCATAATCAATAGTATAGATTACTCCATTAACCCGTGCGACGACTTCTACGAGTACGCGTGCGGCGGTTGGCGCAAAAAAAATCCCATCCCAGACGGCAAGAGCGTTTGGGGCACGTTCGGCAAGCTGGAGCAAGATAATCAGCTGGTGGTGAAGAATGTCCTCGGTAAATATTAAACGTCGCCGATCGCGCGCGATCGTGCGAAAAAAGAATCAAGTAAAATAGTGAATAAGCACGATGGACAGAAGCGATGCGCGTGCAATTCTGACACTTAATCGTTCTCTCGTTTCCTCCTCCTTTCCTCGCCGCGCAGAGAAGCCGTTCAGCGAGATGAAGTCGAAGGCTGAGAAAAAGGCGAAGTTCTACTACATGTCTTGTATGGACGCGAACGAGACGATCGAGACGCTCGGCGCCAAGCCGATGATGGAGCTGCTCGAGAACATCGGTGGCTGGAACATCTCCGGGAAATTCAACGTGAGCACGTGGTCTTTGCAAAACAGCATGCATATTCTGCAGAACGTTTACAACATGGGCGGCTTGTTCTCCTGGGCTGTGAACGAGGACGACCGTAACAGCAGTAGATATATAATCCAAGTAAGCTGATTATGATGGATTAAAGAGCGAGAGAGAAAGAGAGGGAGAAAAAGAGAGAGAGAGAGAGCCTCGTTCTTCATTGGTTTGTCGTCGAAGATAAATCGATTATCTTCTATAAATTGATCTCGTCGATTGGCGGTTATTAAATTTATTAAGAAATGCTATACAGAGTATAGAAGATTAATTTCTCCGCGTATGTGGACCGGAGAATAAGCCGGTGCGTGCGTCGATATACGTTCAAGCTTGATCTTTCCGTAGATATACTAATATTGATAATATTAATATTGAATAGTACTAGAAAATCCGTGCTTTGGCACTTAAAGGCCCGTTATTCTTTCTCGATATCATTGGTGTTATTATCGAATATTTCCGAGCACGAGTGACGCGGTCCTCAAGACAACATCGTTGTCTAATCAAGCGTGTATCATTTAAATCACACGGTGAAACTTGTTTATGGAACGTTTGATTCGCGCTCGCTTTCAATTCGATCTGATTCGTTTGACCCGCGAACGCGTGCCTCGCGCGTGCAGGAGCCGCCGATTCGATTAACATTCGGCGGGACTGATCTAAAATTAGAAATCAATTTGTCGTAAGTAACTATTTCTCTTTCCGGGAACGCGAATCTCAGCAACTCAACTCGGCGAACCGTGTTCGATTCACGGGAACTCGCATTGCACGAGCGATATTAAGAGGTTTTATTTTCAAGATCGACCAAGGAGGCCTGACGCTGCCAACTGCGGACAACTATCTTAACGTAACCGAACACAGCAAAGTCTTGGCCGCTTACTTAGACTATATGACAAGGGTAAAGTAGCGACGATACGCGTTTACGCCGATCCTGACGCGACGCGCGACACGATCGTGAACGAATTAAGCAGAGATACTCGTGTGCACTTGCAGATCGGCGTGCTCTTAGGTGGCGAGGAAAACACCACGAGGAAACAGATGCAAGATATCATTGACTTTGAGACGAGACTCGCGGAGATCACTACACCACCGGAGGAGCGCAGGGACGAGGAGAAGCTTTACAATCTAATGTCTCTGAGCGAACTGCAACGTAAAGCACCTTTCGTACGTTTGACGTCTCTTGTTTGATCGAATATTCTCCACTTTGGAAATTGGAAACCGCATGACAGCGTCCGAGAAAATTCCACCGGGGGAAAGGGAGCGAAATGACGGATAATAAGGAAAAATCGACAAACCTTAAAATTATCATCTTACCCCCTTTTCCTTACGGGGACGTTTTCCTCCGGTTTTCAGCATTTTTCCGTCCGGAGCGACTAAATCACCGGCAACATCGTAACGTTTGTGATTTTTACATTATTATCCAGATGTCGTGGGTGGATTACTTCCAAAATGCCACACGTCTCGTAAATAAGAAGATCAACAGCAAAGCGCAGATTATCAACTTTGCGCCGGAATACTTTGCGAAGCTGACGAAGCTCGTGCAAGAGTATAACAAGACGACCCACGGAAAAATGTACGTATACCATGCGAGGTGCATATCAGAGGCAGCGTGTTCGCTTTGGTCCCCAGAGACTGGTTTGCGAAAGCGACTCGAGAAAGATCGAGAGACGATCGAGAAAGAATCTTAGTAACGAGCAATCCTTCTCAGCTCGAGAACTGTCGAAGCTCTTCGAAAGATCTTTCGAAGAGCCGAGAAGTCGGAGAGAATGATCAATCTTTTCCTCTACCTTTTCTTTCCGCAGAATACTGAATAACTATCTGGTTTGGCAGACCGTGAGGTCCTTGACGGCGTGCCTGTCGAAGCCGTTCCGCGACGCTTACAAGGGCCTGCGAAAAGCTCTGATCGGTTCGGAGGGTAATGAGGAGCAGTGGCGTTACTGCGTAAGCGATGTCAATAACGCCATGGGTTTCGCGATCGGCGCGATGTTCGTCCGAGAGGTGTTTCACGGCAAGAGTAAACCCATGGTTAGTCTGCAGCCTGATATCGCGAAGCGAACAATCACGGCCGTTTAAGAGACACCCGGCGACTTTAAGAAACTCCACTTTCGAAAGTGCAATCGGTGTATTATCACTGAGAAATAGTCACTCGGTCAACGGTGAATCGGTAATTTCGCTGAAAGAAATCTATCGAAATAGCAGCGATTGTTGCCATCAGGGAAATTTTACTGCGGAAACAATGAAGAAAGGCATCATTTATTACTTCTCTTTTATATTGTCTTAAATATTATTAACGGCACTTTTTCGTTCATCTCAATCCGTTCTACATCTTCACAAAGTTTGTTCTTTTTCGTCTGGGACATTCTGTATATATTTGGTTGAATGAATACATGTATATGTATATATATATTTTTTTTATTTTAATATAAACGAATTCTGCCGTGGGACGCGTACAGCGATTTAGAGCGAATCTTTCACTGATCAAAATTAATTAAGTATAAGACAAAAGAGCTAAGTGGAAATGTTACCACTAAAAAATTGCGGATCCTTACTCATTATCGGTATAATACCGTTTTACTCATTCAATCAGCGACGATTTTCGCTGATTCGACTTCAGATTTTCAACGATCGCCCTCGCCAATGTCTCTAATCCTTTGTCGCCGCTTCCAGGCGGAAGAGATGATCGACCTGATCCGCAGAGCGTTCACGAAGAACCTGAAGAATCTCGACTGGATGGACGCGGAGACGAGGAGCTCCGCCGAGGAGAAAGCGAACGCGATCACCGACATGATCGGCTTCCCGGATTTCATATTACGGCCCAGCGAGCTTGACGAGCGTTACCGGGACCTTTCTATCAAGTCATACGAGTACTTTCAGAACAATCTGCGCGTGAATAAGTTCAATCTGCGCAAGAACCTCGAGAAGCTCGATCAGGTGGTGAATAAGAGCTCTTGGATAATGACGCCGCCGACCGTGAACGCTTATTACACGCCTACGAAGAATCAAATCGTCTTCCCCGCCGGCATTCTTCAGAGCCCGTTCTACGACATGGAGAATCCTAACAGCCTGAACTTCGGCGGCATCGGAGTGGTCATGGGGCACGAACTCACGCACGCTTTCGACGATCAAGGTGACGTGATTTGCGCACGATTCTAATTGAGAGAAAAAATATGGAAAAAATAGAAAAAAGATTTCGCCGGTGGATACCAATAACATAACGTACGCGGAAAAAACAATTTCGTTGGTGTAACTGAATTTTCCATTGCATGGGGATCAGACGAAATTTCGATTGTGGCAAAGAAAGATTTCTGTAGGAAGTTTCTACTCAGCCGATCGTTCTCAGTTGTCCCAACCGAGTTTCAATGCTGAATGTTCACAGTCGCAGTAACAGAGATTATCAGTCGAGTTTTCATTTCCGGCCACTGAATTTTCCTCTGGTTTTTATTCTGTAACTGGGACTTTTCGATATTTATTCCAATGTAAGTTCTTTTATTTATGAATAAACAATTGCTTCTTCGTGAAAAGCTACGGTTTTCAAGAAATGTATACTTTTTTATTTGAAAAAGTTTTTCCTCGGTATAAAAATAGGTGTGTCAATGTAAGTATATGTTATTAGTGCCCACCGAATAAATATTTTTTATCTTTTAGATATTTGTTCTCTCAATGTAAGGTAAACGACAGAGAAATATCGGGTCAGCCCCCCTCTCCTCCGTGTTTTCGCGATTTCACCGCGGAAACATCGGCCGAGTGTATTTGCTCGCACTCATTCGTCCTGTTAGCGCAACGACTGTATTTTTTCTAGTAACATATCGGATTCGAACAGGTCGGGAGTACGATTTGCACGGGAACCTGCATCAGTGGTGGAACGACGCTACGATAGAAAAGTTCAAAGGTAGAACCGAGTGTTTCGTGAAACAATACGACGCATACGAAGTGCAAGGTCGACATGTGAACGGCCGGCAGACGTTGGGTAATATTATTGGTTATTAATAAATGCTCGCGCGGATATGTGCGCGAAAATGTGCCGGTAGGTTTCGACTGATCGCACGTTGTACGCAGGTGAGAATATCGCCGACAACGGGGGCCTTAAGGCGGCGTTTCACGCATACCGGGAGATGTCTACGAACTACAAGGATCAACTGCCTCTGCCTGGTCTCAACTTAACGCATCGTCAACTGTTCTTCCTGAATTTCGCACAGGTACGCATAATCACGTCGGGCGGAATTTCGAGTTGTCCGTCGCACACAGAGAAGATTACTTTGTATTTAATATACGTATTTGTTTGACTTGGGGGTTGTTTGGTACGAACAATAATTTAATATCAACGTGTGACTTGATAAAATTGAAATACGGAGGAATCGCACGGAAAAAAATTATGAGATCGCGATTAAAAGAGAGGAATGTATATAATATGTTGGGAAATGTTTTCCTTTTCCGGTTGAAACGCGAGATGCATTAACGATCGCAGTAGTCACGTGAGAGACGTTCGCAGGTCTGGTGCTCCGCTATAACGCCCGAGGCAGTGACTCTACAGATCGAGAAGGATTCTCACACTCCGCCGAAATACAGGGTGATAGGACCACTTTCGAATCTGCCGGAGTTCGCGGCGGAATTCAACTGCCCCAAGGACTCGAAGATGAATCCGGTTCACAAATGTGAGGTGTGGTAACCTCGTGTTTCTCTTGACTGATTGATGGACAATTCGGTTGGACTCGGTTTCCAATATCGCGGCGGACCAACCGTCGAAGCTTCTACGTGCCATTTGCGTAATGAGAGACACACGCCGCGAGACATGAGACTTACTTCGGGCATCGGACTGTGCGTTTTTTAATTCCACATATCACTCGTCCACTCATCGCGCGTTTACTTTGCGTTGAATCATGTGTGAGATTAGCGGGTGATGATCTTATCGCGTCATTTTCAAACGCGCACGCCGCCGAGAGTCGTCGAACGTGGTGTGAAGGCGAGAATTCCCGGCTAAATTGAAATTAATCCGTAGCTCATCATTTCGGGACGCTCTGGTATCCCGCGATCTACGACCTAAAGCCGTACTAAGATCGATCTGGAAGCCAATTTGTTTTCCGAAGAAAACCTACCGAGACGTATCATCTGTTTCTTCATGCAGATCTGAATGTTGAAATTAAACGTAACTCATAGCGAATTTTTCTCCGACGAATCACGCGACTCGTACGATCAGATCGCGCGAAATATGCCAGCGAGATTTGTAGCATTTGTAGACGCGGTGTCGGGGAGTTCCTCACCAAATCGGTCTCACTTTCGGTCGCCGAGCTTATTCCAGCAGCGCCGATTCGCAGCGCGGATCGGCAAATCTCAGCGATCACGGAGAAGCGCGAGGGGTGAATCTTACACGGTATCGCGACGAGTGCGAGTGATTCTAGCGAGCCTCGTTGAGAAAACATAGGGAAGGAAAAGCGAAAGAGAACAAGCGACTTGTAAAAGCCGGAGACGTTTGGAAGAAATGGACGCGCAGGCTCGAAATTGTCGTTGGAATTGATCCAGGAGAATTTTCGTTTGTCGAGACGGGAACTAGGACCATTATATTAGCGTATTATTCCTCTTCAGCTACGTTGAGGTGCGAGCGGTCAGTATACGGTGAAAAATTTCTGTAACGGCCCGCTGAAATATGAAATAAAGTTACAAGAATGTGAAAACAAATTACTATATTAATGAGCAATTATTGTTTTTCGATAGTTTCTTCCGTGCGGGTTAACATGGAAACATGTTGAAAAGTACGCGAAATATATGTTAAAATATATATTAAATTAACACATTCACTTCTTAACACGGTACTTTTTAACAGATCCATCTTGTTAGAGTAACATAAAAATTTCAACGGGCCGGTATTTACGCAGAATTTCTCAGTGTGCGCCGATTCTTTTCGCGCACAGCCTAACCACGGCTCATCGAGATTAACGAGAGCGCTCAAGAACGACGTCGACAGCCGCTGAAGCATTCTCGATACGCGGTGCATATCGTTTTTCACTTTTATATAAATAGGAATCAGTATTACACGCGACACACTCAGTCGATTCGCAGGCGTGCACGGAACAACGACTGACGATGATGACGAAAATGATGACCGAGTTATAAAGGCGAAATACGGTTCGGGTGGTATAATTATAATCATAAGACTGTCGCAGGGTGGTTGAATGCCGGGACAAATTTTTCACTCGCTTCGGCTTGTAGAAGCTAATTGGTCAAGGAGTTAACGATCCGTACAAACCGTATAAACCGTCAATGCGCAACACGTGCAACACGCAATGAGGAGTTAGTCGGCAGGTTAATTGCGACGTCATGAGTGCATTGTAATTCTCATTGTTACGAGTGACATCGTTGAAACTTATTTACAAGATATATTCGCAACTGATCAAAAGTCTCTTCGACGGCAAGTTCCTAGACTCTTTCATTGAGGGTGGAGGGGGATTGATACTCAGGATTCGACTATAAGTACTGTCAGTCAATGAGTATTATCAGTCAATCAAAATGCAGAAGCACTTGGCGACGATTGGTATTTGCCGCGGCGCGCTGATTAGTTTACAAAATAGCTGGTGTGGTTTATAAACCTCGATGAAAAACGACGAAGCCAAGCGAGAAGGAGTAACGCGAAACTCACGTGAGACCGAATTTGATTTTTGTCACATTGCAAACAAAGTCACGCCGGAGAACGCTTCGCGTTTTAACGTTATCAGTATTAACGTCGACGCACGTCGATGCGCTGCAGAATGTTATTAATATGCGAAAGCATCACCACCGCTTTCGATAATCTCGGTAGAGCGTGGCTGGGAAAGACAGCTGGGTGCCGTAAGTTCCGCAGGCAGGATTCGATTTAGTTCAAGCCGTCTATATTTTCATAGAGATGATGAACGCTACGCGAACAACATAAATTGTCGCCGTCGTCGTTCGATCTTCGATTCTTGATCTCGCACGTATCGCAGCATCGGCGGATTACGATTTTATTGTGTGTACTTTCTCCTTGATTCGAGTTGGCATACATATAATTGTACAATAATTAATTATAAAGTTTTCACCGACGAAGGCTGAACGGCGTGTTTTTGTAAATAATGTAATTTACCGATCCGAAAATTTACGCGTCTATTAGCGGAGCGTAATTTCTCATTTAGAGTTAACCGTTAACGTTGATTTTAGCGTTCTACTTAGTAAGAAATGTAAATCTCACCGTGATAGAGCCAGCTGTGAGCGGAACCCGAAGCGTCGAGGTTCCGTCGCGGCCCTTTCGTTGCTGGAAAAGAGCGCGGATTGTATTTCGGAATTACGAAAGGTATCGAAACTACCAGCGGATTTAGTAGTTTGCGCTCTTCCGCGGTTAACGTACATTGTCGCGCTCATTTACTCTCCATCGCGGCTGGAAGTCACGCGCCGACCGACAATGTCGCCAAGCGTAATAATGTCGAGGCCCAAGTGAGTCTCGCATACTTCAAAAAGAGAAACGGAAAAGAAGAGGAAAGAGAAAATGCCAATCAAAACCCGATCTTTTTTTAACACCTGCGGAGAGAGGAGGGGAACCAAAGATACGTATTCGTGCGATGTTTTTTCATAGGGGAGAAATAAACAAGATAAACAAACATCAAGCAGTTGAACGATACGTTATTGTACATCGCGTAAGACACACTTATTATTGAAGCACGCGATGAGCTCATTGTGGAAACACGGTGTCCCCGATAATCATCGCGATGTCCGTCGGACGACGCGATAGGATGAAACGAATAATAGCGCAACCCAGTAAACACGAAACATCAGTTATATTACATCCGTATTGTAATTTCCCAACAATGTAAACGTAATATAACACGCGTGTATTATATTGCATTTATATGGTTGAGTGAGATATTGTAATAAACATGGAAAAAGTTTGGTTGAATTTGCCAGACAGTGAACGAACCAAACGTGCTTTGGTTGAAGGAAACAGAATTTCTGGTTATAATAGCTGAATTTGGGTCACATAAGTCCCGGAAATGTTTTTCCCTTCAATCAAAACGCGTTTGGTTTGTTCACTGTCTGGCAAATTCAATCAAACTTTTTCTCCATATAAATGTAATAATATAACTGATGCCCCGTGTTTATTGAGTAGGTTAATTGGTTACGCGTTCATTCGGTCACGTCATTAATCTCCGACGGAAGCGCGTTATACCCCCATCGATTGACGTTGCGTAGCATTAATCCTAGAAGTCCACATATCCTGACACAATCGCGCGAAACGCTGGGATCCAGCTCAATTACGCTCAATTTCCCCCTTCATCTTTTCCTTTCGCATCGAACGAAGAAGCCGGGGAACGAATTCGTCGAGCTCTCAGAAGAATCTTAGGGCGGAGAATAATCAAATTAGTACGTTTTTATGTGATCGACCGGGGACATACGATGTATGTTCCGCGACACGAAAAAATACCGAGGTCCGTTGGACGTCTAGGATTAAGTCTAGAGTCCCTCCGTGTGTGGACATTTAGAATTAAGCTAGCCGAGAACTTAAGAGATCGACGATAATGAGAAAGCGGGCAAATCTCAAGAAAAAGAGTAAAATGTGGGGATAAAGAAAGCCACTGCATTCTATTCTTTGTCGGATTAGCCCCGATCTCCCTGTCTCTCTTTCTCCCTCTCTCTGTCTCTCCCTCTTACTCCTTCCGCAACCCCTTGAAAAATCAAAGCGACATGAATACGTAAGAAGCCAAAGTTTCTTTAACTACAACGTAAGATCCGTATAGGCCTTAAAAAATATCTGACGCCGATGCATAATGTATTTGTAAATGTCCATTGTTTATAATGATTGTGAATATTGTAACAATGAGAGAGGAGCGTCGTCTCCGCAGTTACATTGTTGCGTATACATATAAATATTATACTCGAAAACGCTATTTAGAGTAACGTGGGGGCGAGAATTAGAAACTTAATAAATGTCATTTTGCGCTCTCTCACTTGATCGATGACGATAACGACGACGATAGCCATGACACTTTCTCGATGTCGTTAAGTCGTAGACGACGTGTGCACGCGCAAAATGCGATCTATGAGCATTCGGATTCTTGGCCCGTGCGAGCTCCCGAGGCCCCTCGGTTACTCTACGTGTGTAATGATTTCGTGTAACACAGAAGGTGTCAATGACGATGTTCGCCATGATTATTTTTCTGTATTGTACATTATGTACTATGCTTATTATTAAAATTAAAAAGGCAGAGCAAACCTTCATGCTCACTTCTAGAATTGTACAATTCTATTTGACGAAGCTGTAGTTAAATTCGACACACCGAATTTATTCGCACTCTGCATTTGTAGATAGCATCCCCAATGAAAATTTTTCTCCGAGCCGAACGATTAAAAGACGACGCGCGTTATGTAAGATAATAATTAATCGGAAGAAGCACACGCAGTATTAGCCGATATAAAATATTATTTATTGTTAGCAAATAAAAATGCAAATCTCCACATGTTGGAATTGCAGAAACGTGCATTTGCTACATTAACGCGATTGGACCGTCCGGTTTGTCTCGATTGAGTGCGCACAATGAAATATTTTGTGTTGAATGTAACACATTTTACATATCTCAAACGGTTCACAGAAATCTTGGTGTTAATTTAACATAAGATGAATATGTTGAAAAGTAAAACAAATATTATGTCAAAAATTGACGTAAAATTAATATCCATAAAATAGTAATAAACCTTGAAGTATAAAAGTGTTATTTTAACATACATACATTGAATATCGACCCAACACAAAATATTGAGGTAACATAAGCACAATATGTTAAATTAACATACGGATATGTTAAAAATTTAACACAAACGTTTTAACAACGACCGACTTTAATGCAAGTGCAAAATGTTTTTTTACTGTGCATGTCATTCTTGAAAACTTCGAGGACGAGCTTCGCGAGTCGCTTTGTTTCTCTTAAAACAATATGAGAATTCGAGAAAATATCGCCGATAAACGATGTTGCCGGACAAATGTGCGTGCCTATAATCACGAGTGCAACGTTTACCATCGATTCACTCGTACCGTGACGTTCTGAAAAAATTCTGGATCTTTTACGATTTCAGGTAATAATATCGATCTGACCGTTTGACACCGTCGAACAACGATGGTCCTTGGCCTTGATTTGCGACGCACTTTCGTAATATTCATGTTCATATGATCGCGTGTCCTCGGCATTATCGAAATAGGATTGATTCCTTTGTACTTCAGTCGCAGCTTATACCAAATGTTCTCTAAAACGCAGATAAACGCGCTGACAACGGTTATCGCGAAGAACCCACAGAAGGCCAAATGAATGTGTTCAAATTCGACCGGTTGGAAGGTGCTCTGTCGAAGATAACCGGATTGATCATAAATGTGCGTTGACATCCACTTTCGCCGAAGGTAATTCAATATCCCGGCTGTGTCCATTCGCAGTATGCTGTCAACAAACGTGAATGATAAGGGGATCGCACATAGAATCGCAATATTGAAATAATATAAACACAGTATGTTAAATAGCACTCGGATATGTTAAAAATTTAACACAAAAATTTTAACAAAACCGATCTTGACACAAGTACAAAATATTTTTCATTCTGAATTTGTAATAATAAATATAGAAAGGATTACAGTAGACATCATAATTTCAATTATATAGTATCCGATCCAAAATTTTGTGATAATTTTTACTACTATATTTTTCACCGTATATATATCACATAGACAGCTAGACATGATACGTAGGTTATTCCGAAAGTCTCTGTAAGATGGCATTAGACGTCGCATTTTGTTACATCAAAACTGATAATGGGTTCTCTTAACTTCTTAATGTTTAATGACACTTTGTTTTTCGATGCATAAAAATGTATTCATTCGTTTAGCCGTGAGACGTGTTCAAAGTTGGCGCTTTCGAAAGAAGTGAACTTATCACGAGAAAATTTCCGCGCGATGATTTTTCACGACTTTAGAAGTCACTAACTTCGCTACAGCGCATCATCCTGCATTAAGACAACGCGTCGTTACATTACACAGAGAAAATAAATGAGTTTTTGGCCACTGTCCGTGTACAATTGATAATTCGTTCGTTTTACAATCCCGATCTGACATCTCGTAACTTTTTCCTACTTCCATACATTAAGGATAAAATACACGGTTTAAAGTTTAACACGGCGGATGCGGCAATGGAAGCGTTTGAAAATCTGGTGTCTGAGGTGCCTCCGGAAAACAAAATACTTCGACGATTGAAATCGAATGGATGAATTTCATCGAATGGAAAAGTATATCGATTGTAACGGGGAGTATTTTGAGAAATAATAAAATCAATTTCAGAAATTAATTATATGATATTTTTATACAATTTCGCTAGAAACTTTCGGAGGAATCCTCGTATTAACAAAACGTCATGCGGATCTGTCGCTAATGTAGCGTCAATTTTTCTTTGCATATTAATGAAAAATCTAGCAGTTATCAAATCGAACGGTCTGAAAGATCAGTCATCGATATCGAATGGATCGTCGACTTGTGAAGCTGGAGTTCCCAGGTTCAATTGGAAAACAACACTCACTATTTGTTAATGAGGTGTCGGTGTTGCGCCGACTTGGTTTGCAGAAACGCCAGTCTGCGGCTCCAGTAAATCTCAGGTAACTGTACGATGCTGCAGTTACGCTGAGCCTTGTGGTACGTAAATCGGAATATGTTCGGCACCTCCAAATAAACGAAGCCCGGATTGCATAATTCCGGAATGAGATTCGCGCTGTCCGTACTCATGTCGGGACAACCGTCGTTCAGTAATCCCTTCCAGTCGTCTTGAATTTCGCCCTGCAGCGATCCGTCCTGCAAGACAACTCTTTGTATCCTTACGGCTTTCTCGCGAGATTCAACATAGAAAAGCGCAATATTCTCTCTCGGAGCTTTAAATAGCGCTGCGTGCTCTTCCTGAGAGGGAAGAAAGAAAGAAAAAATCAAGAGAAACCGCGGTCACGCGGAACTTCGAGTTGTATCAGTTCGCTCTTTCTTTATTCTTATTATTTCTTTGTTTCCATTTTTACACGCTGCCGTGCAGCTTTACTTTCTTGTTTTATCGCATCTTTGTTCCTATTTTTACGTACTACTGTAAAGTGGAGGTAAACACTGCTGTTATTCCTGATGCAAAGCGTGTGTGTCCTTTTTATCGCCACGTCTTCGAGATTAGCGAAGGGAATAGAGTCTCTCCTGTTTGCCAGGTCGGAAGTAAGAGTACTGCTGAATCCGTAGGACAATAATACTCCGAGTATCAAGGAGGATAAAATGATTAATCGGAGGGACCAGCTTTTCGGGATTTTCTGAAATCCTGAATGACCAGTGTGAGCTCGGTAAGGATCTTTTTCCATTTGTTTTTTTGTTGCTAATTTCACACATCACAGTGTTGCACAATTGTGGGTAAATCGAACTTCTTCCAATTGACAAACGACGATACTACCACATGCATAACATATTCGCGTAGCCAAACGAAGCTTTCTCAGATTCACGCGGCTTTGGAAAGTGAAGTGAACCGCAGCGATACGAAAGGAGTTACGAAAGGCGATACGAAAGAGTTAACCTAACTCGTTCATACGTTTCAATATAACTAGCGCGAAAAGCGACCTCGAGACAATAGTCAATTTTTAGACTTTTAAGGCGACCTTCTGGTGTAGGGGGATCAAAAAATCGAGCTCGAGTTTTGAGCTCGCTTTTCGCGTTGGCAATGAAACGTGCGAACGAGTGTGAACTCCTTCCTTTTGCTTATCACTCGATCAGCTCAGCTCACTTTTCGAAACCGCGTGAATGTCGGAGAATTACACGCATGTTACGCACGTCGAGATATCGTCGTTTGATTCGATTTACCCATGATTACGCAACACTGTATCGGATATTTCTTAAACTTCTTCGATTTTAATAGCGTCGAATTTGACCGAAAAATCTTTGATCTTTTTTTTTTTATGAGAACGATTTAGACGCAATACACAGAATTAACTTATCAGTACATGTGTCAGCGAAATAAAAATGAAAGGAAAAGTATCGTGGTAATCTAATTTTGAAGGAAAGAGCAAATGGCACATGTGATAAAATTAAATGAGGCATCGTATTCACCAAACAATTACGTTTTAATTGCGCAACGGGTCGCTCTATGAGATATGATAACGCGATATCTCGGAGAAGAAAAGTTCAGGCAACGACGGGGCTGTGTAACGAATCAATTGAATGTATATTTTGTCTACAAGTATGTGATTTGCCTCTATTTGTAATCAATTAAAGTTGGTATATCTTTGTTGAAAAACATCTTTTCGCCCCTTAGTGCGATTCGACAGAGCACCTATACGTGTTACCTTGGCCGCTTATGCCACTCCAAACGTAAAACAGACTGAAAAGCGGCGAGGATAGCTCGTCGTGAAATTCCATGTAATTAGGGGAGATTAGCTTCTGCACATAGTATGTTCCCATGATGCTACACGCGATGCACAAGATGAAGATGAAAGCCATCAGCCACAGTCTACCGTTGAAGGTATCGAGATACCACGTTGTCGAGACTTTCTCACCCTCCGACTGGACGAACAAAGAGTATCTGAAAGCGGGACGTTTAATGCGGCCATCGCGACACAATCCCGAACGGACGAGCGCCAGCGCCGTCCTTTAATTAATTAATCATATCCGCGCGAGGATCTCGGAAACGTTCACCAAGTTTCCGGAGATGATCACACGGACTCTCAAACGCGAGCGTGTTTGGAATGGAACGAAACCGCTGTCTTGTCTATCTCATTTTACGATCACCCCCTATCAATCACGCGTGCGGCTTTCACGCGCGCGACAAACAAAATTCCCGCGGTCGGAGATCGTCGGATACGGAAATTCGTCTCTCTTTGCCCCTTTCGCTTCTCCCTCCTCCGTCTCCTTCTTCAATTTCGTTTTTCTTCCCGTGCAAACAAGCACGCACGAGAAGTCGCGAAAGCGGAATCAGAGAGTCATTAGCCGAGATACGATCGCGCCGAAGTATATATGTCCCGGCTGGTGGTGGCTAACCGAAACGGGTTAACGACCGGTGTAAAAATTCCGCTGAAAAAGCTCACGTCGCGCAGCGCGAGGACGAGCGGCCGCGATAAGAGCGAGTGTTAGACGACGCATTCTCGAAAAGAAATCATTTATTCGCCCGTCCGTTCATAGGTTTGTTCGTCCGGCCGCTCGCACGGCTGAAAGGTAAGGGATGATCGAATGAATAAGGGCGCGCTCGACTTACGAGTTGGTCGTGAACGGCCAGCTGTATTCGAAATAGCACGAGCTCTGCGCGTACATCGCCGAGGCAGTGAGCACTGCGTGAGTTCCTCCATTCACCAGCGTCTCGACGTCGTACTTTCGAACTCTCCGGTAAATCGTCCTGCATTTTCGTCGAAAAGACGCCTTTATTACGGGTGCCGCCACACACTCCCGACTCCTGCCGCCCACCCCCCCGCCCCTTCCTTTCTGCCTACCGTCTGCCGCGCACACCCGCTTTACCTTCTCCGCTGCCTATCCTGATACTATACTTATACCTGTCTAGACGAATGAATCATGCGAGTATTTTGACCCACCGCCGGGGCGTGTGGGTGGTACGCGGAAAATTGGGCAGGTTCCACGTACGGGCTCGCCACACATACCCCTTTGATGCGTCGCCATGAAAATTGTCCGTGTAAATCAACGACGTCAAGACGGCATTCAAGTGGGAAATGTAGCTGTCGCCGGCTCGGTATCAATCGAAAAGCAAACCACCCTGCGTGGATCTTTACATAGAACTTCCCACCACGCGAGAATTCGTTATTAAGATCGCTTACGTCAGTCAGCCGATCATCCCCGTTGTGACACACCGTAATGAAAATTTTCCTGCTGAAACTCGCGCACAATCGTCAAATGTGAAGTGCTTAGATAAACTGAAATATCGTATTGCCTGCTGAATGTTTCAAGAAAGGACTGTCGTCTGACAAGCTAATTGCGAGCGACACCTCGCTCTGCGTATTTCTCCTTTCGCGTAAGAAAAGAAGTGATATACAGCGCGAGGTTCGTCGCNAAAAAAGTGGTATTTTGCCCCCCCCCCCCCGCCATTTGCATTTTGTACAATAACTTTGTTAATAATCAATAACTTAACGATTATATTCGTTAAAAAGTTGTTCGATCTATCCTAGCCTGAAAGTTATGAAATGTTTATTACTATTATTGTTTGACGATTAATGAGCAAGTATATATAATTAAATGCTAAAGTGTACCTTGAAGACATTTCGAAATGCTTGAAAGTGCGTTATAATAAATTTCGGTTATTGTGTATTGCGCAACGGCGGACTACTTAAACAAATGAATGCAAATGAAAATAAATGAATAAATAATCATTGGAATTCACCACCTGATAGAAAAGATATAAAGAAAAGCCATTTTACCTACAAATGTCACACTACCACCAATACCACCTTCTCTTCTACAATTTTTCTCACAGGACGTATTACCGCCTCTCCTAAGATATACTAACTTAAACCCCAAAGCTCCTTCTAGGTTGGTCCAGATATCTCCTATGAAACCCGTGACTCCGGTTTTATCCGCGTTTTGCATGATGAACGGATTTATCTGAAAGGACATTTCAGATAACGACGTTCCGCATTAATTACCCGTCGAATCTCGTACAAAAGCCGTATCTCCGCGAAATACGCTAATGCGGAGGAAGTAAAAAGAGAAGAAAATAAATCAAGAGAAAGCACGAGATCAAATTCACACTTACTGGAGATATACCGACGAGGAGTGTCTTTCCGCGCAAATCGTTCACCGCGTCGACGCTGCACAAAGCCGTGCTGTTCGACGTTAACGCTTCAAGTTTGTCGAAGTCGCTCGTATTCGCGTTCCAATGCCAAATGTGTCCCGAATAAATTTTTCGATTTTCGGTATCCTCATAGGCGAAAAATCGAAAACATATCGCCGTGGTGAAGCACGGGAATACCAGCTGCAACGGGTGTTATGCGATTATTGCGACGAGAGAGAACGATGAGGCATGTGATCGTCAATCGAACAAGAAATCTGTTCGCATGTGAGAGAAGAGGAACGGGAGCATTCCGGATAAATAATTTCAACAGATTAGAGAATAACGAGATAAGAGAATCCCTCACCGGTAAGAGAAGATACTTCATCGCGGCGAGTTCCGATACACTCCGATAGTCGTTTCCAGTCTTACTGCGCGAGTAAGGCGAAAATCGTTCGCGTGAACTTACGGCTATCGTCGCGTCAATGGAGTAATTGACAGGTTTTACTATGAGGGGTGAAGAGCTGCCGTCCACTTTGTTGTGTCACGTCAATTATTGTGCTGCGTACGCACACGTATATGAACTGGTGCGAGGAGTTATACGATTTTAGGGTTGATGCGAAGTGACGTGTTCATCGTAAGATGTCACCGTTTAATTACTTTTGATACTACAATTTATAATTCTACATTGAAAAGAGATTCGGTAGTAAGTATTAAAATTTGGTGAATATTCGCCGACGAAATATTTGATTATTGCAACTAAACCATTCAGTTCCGTATATTAAATATATAATATATGGAATTACGGTACTGTATATACAGTATACGTAACTAAATTATTTCGTTGCAGCGATGCAATATTTCGTCGGTAAGTATTCACCAAAATTTCGTACTTCCGTACTACCAAATCCTTCTTTCAATGCATGCATGTATGATTGAAATCTACGAATCGTAATAATAATTGAGAAGAGTCTGAATATATACACATATATCTGAAAAAATTAATCTATTCGAACGATTGATTAATTGTGAGATGGGACAGAAGTAGACGTTTTAATTTGCATGTGATAATTTTCGTCACGTTTGCGGTAACTCTCAATTAGCAAGAACGATGATGAACTAACGCCGCGCGCTTGATGAAGATTTCAACGCTTGGCAAACGCTGCAATCATATACTAATCATCATTACACTGTCACGTAGAATCAGAACTTGTCAATGTTAACGTATCAAGCGATAATATCGTCAATTTTATATAATTGTCGTAATTCTTTGATTCTATATATTTATGATGTTCGTATAACTTGGATTGTTTTTCTCTTAACGGTACGATGCTAAAATATCCGAGAATACAGAGAAAAAGCGCCGTTTCCCTCATCTCCTCCCTTATCTCTCCCTTTGTTTATATTTCGCACACGTTTATCTTCTCAGTAGAAAGGGAACGTTGATTCACTTTGTGCCCCGAAGAAGACGAAAACGAAGAAGAAGAAGCGAGGGTCGAAATAAAAAGTACAGGCGTATTGTATCGGTAACGGTGATTCGTCAGATGAAATCTCGCCAAAAAAGGAAGATCGCGCGACCGCCAAGATCAAAGCGAGATACCTTCGGCGAAGCTATAAGCAATTCCGTTCCCGATCCACGAGGATGCAAATTATTATAATTGATTCCAGAAAAGAAACGTCTAAGAGTGAAGAAAGAATATGGAAATTGGTGTGATCAGACAACCATAAAATTTTATTGAACGACATAATGCACCTGAGTAGCGCAACTTGGACGCACGATTCGTCTCGTTGAGCCTAACCAGACATGATGAAAGAGTCCGTCGCCGATGAAGGTACTCGTTACTTCACGATCAATGTGTTAACGGACAAGCGGACATTGTGGAGATTTCGATGAGACTGTTGCGCGCGGCCGGGCGTATTCACTTTTCACCTTCCGGCAGTCATGCACGAAGCGCACGGGATGTTGGTTTTGGCCGAGATGGATTGCTTTACCGTTAGAGATGCGTGTACTCTTTTTGCGTTTCTCCCTTTCTGGACGGCAGATCGACTGGCGGATAGAGCGTTTCGTCATTTCGTAAGAGGCGTTGCCATGAAAAATCCACGGACGGCGCCTTCTCGCACGGAGTACTTTCACGCGCGAACATTGTCGCTTTAAGAAGAAGAAAAAAATACAAGAAAAGAGACGGTTCCCCTCCTCCGGGAGTGGGCTGTATTTATAGAACGCACCTAAAGTATGTTACGTCCCGCTTTTGCAATTTAAACGTCCATCTATCTCACCGATGGCATTCTGGACGGCGCCGCGAGTTCGAGCTCCGATGCAATCGGCCGCGCCTATCCGAAATCTCCGGTTTCGCTCGCAAGAAACATGTATGCGGAATGCAAAAAAATCGCGTCTCTTTAGAATACGCGGCGACCGGTGCATCTTCGATCGCGCGCAGCCCCGCCGCGGGATTTGAATCTTTTTGAGGTCCCATTTGGATTTCAAATGGGCCGCTCTCGCGCGCTCTTCATCGTATCCTTCCTCTTTCTCTTCCTCTTCTGACCCTCCCGCCCTCATATTTCGCTATCGTGCATCGATGGAACGACGACGACAATGACATGACGGTCGTTGCGCTCCAGCATTCGGCGCCCTCGATTTCGGACAGCATAAAAAATTCGATCGATCGATCGCTCGACAGAATCGGTAGATCCACGCGCCAAGAAATTGCACGCATCAGCGCGGCGCGCGTGCAACCGACGAATTTGAAAGTTTTATATGGCATAAGAGAGAGAGAGAGAGAGAGAGAGAGAGAGAGAGGTATCGACCGGTATCTCTCGCCGTTCTGGTCGTCCGTCGACATCGAATATAGAATAAAAAAAAAGGGACAAGGAACCATTGGATGAGTGACGATCGCTTCTTGTTTAACGGCACGGACAATCAATGCATAAAACATCTTCGCGCGGTCAGTGGCCCGAAAGGAAACGCGATGCAGCAAAGCACTTTCGTACTCTTGCTCAGCATTGTTTCGCGATGGAGACTGCGGATCGATGATGCGATAACCTCGATAATGACAATTGTACCGCCCAATTGCGAATATACAACAATGATAAACAACCATTAGCGAGAGAAATTCAATACAGAAATTTAACGTAAGAAATTAAGTAGAAGGTGGATATGCGTGACCTCTGTGCTTTAAGGTCAATAGACTTGTCGTATCAGCTCTAGGGATGAAAATGATCATAAAAGGAAGCTTGAGGAAATCGCTGAGCATCCGTGAATATTAAGTCAAATGAATATTTGCTTTCGCTGTATTACATCTACGGATCAAGTAGGTATCAACTCGCGGATCTGAACCCCTAAAAGGGTCATTGATACTTCTCAGGGTAATCGAGAGCGTCCGGGGTAGTTCGAACTACCCTTTTCATTCTTTCAGGGAATCCGGCGGTTCCCAGCTTTCCGTCTGCCGAGAAGCTTGATATACGGTCGCGTAGGTTCGCGATGTTCCCCAACGAGTACTCAGAATCCATCGAGGTCGCGGCAATACGGCGATACGGGGGTGGTCTGCGCTCGGCCCGATCTTTTTGGCGTTCGTAAAGCCGCCGTGACGGGCTTTGACGGACCGCCGGCGATTTGCGAACCGCGCACAGAGAGGAACGAAGCTAAACGTCGCCTCTCCGTGAGGGAATCGCGAAAGCAAGTCGACGGGGAAGAGGAGGAAGAAAGAAGGAGAGAGAGAGAGAGAGAGAGAGAGAGAGAGAGAGAGAGAGANAGAGAGAGAGAGGGAGAAAGAGAGAGAGAGAGAGAGAGAGAGAGAGAGAGAGAGAGAGAAAGAAAGAAAGAAAAAGAGAGAGAGAGAGAGAGAGAGGTTCGTACACGAGGAACGGTGGGGTATGGCAAGTCGCGCCGGGTGCGACGGTCGGGCGCGCGGGATTCGAGGGCGGCAGAGGGGGAGGACGGCGGTATTCGCGGTGGTGGACGACGCGGTGGCGGTGGCGACGGCGGCGGTGCCGGCGAAAAGGGTTGGGGGGCTAGGGGAGCGGCGAGGGAGTAGGAGAGCAGAGGAAGGGGGGAGGGGGGGAGAGGGAGATTTGTTGGCGGCGGGTGTAGGTATACGTTCGGCCTCTACGACACGACGCGAGTGCGTAAGATACTACGGGACAGAGGAGACAGAGAAAGACGTCGCGACGTACGCGCGAAAGAGGGAGATGCCGTAGAGAGAGAGAGAGAGAGAGGAGAGGAGGATAGAGGAAAACAGAGAGAGAGAGAGGGAGAGAGGGAAGAAGAAAGAAGAAGAAGAGAGGAGGTGGAGGTCTCCACCTCGACATATATGCGGTGAGAACGCGCCTCCTGTCTCAGTGCTTGACAGGCCGGCAAGCTATTAGGATCCATCTGCAAGTCCGCCAACGGACCGCTGTTGCTCTTGCCGTCACGTACGATCGTCCTCTTCATCTTTCTTCTCGAGAACCCGCTTTAGCTTCCCTCAGGTGACGGCGATCAGCGCGAAAGACTGGTCCCAGTAAGTAGTTACGGACACGCAGCAACAGTCACACGGTGGTGCCGGCCGAGTCCCGGAAGTACAAAGGAACCATCGACGAGGAGTCGCACGGCGAGGAGAAAGACAGGCAAGTAGAATCGGTCGATCAGAGACCCTCCGAGGGAACCAGCTCAGATCTGGCGCCATGACGCCTTGGACACGTCCGATTGAGAATAGGGCCTGTCACTGAAAGAGTGCGCGGCGACCGCGCGTGTCTCGGAATGACAGTAGGCTGGCGCCGGGACTGAAGGTCACGAGGATGCAACTGACCGCATAACCCGGCAGGTTAATCGGCAGAACGCTCAGCACCAAGTCCCCCGAGACACCCAAGTGCCTTCTGTGATTCTCTCGCGCGGTGATCGGTGTGCGTGAGAACGTTTCTGGTGAATCCGAAAGTGGAACGGATTTTGCTCTCGCCGACCGCTCTCTGGTAAGTACCTCCCGATCGCACCGTCGCGAGCACGTCCCTCGATTCCTGAAATCCGCTGAGAAGTCGCGAGGTCTTCGAGCTCCACGGATAGTTGGATAGCCTTGTGACGGAGGAGGGAAGAAAGCGAAACTGGATCGCGTGGATCACGACTGTGATCGAGGCCGGTTGCCCAGTTCCGGCGGAGCAGCGACACTAGGGCGGCGCAACCAGCCAGGGACCAGGAAGTTTCTGGTAGCGGAGAACGTATGGTTGCGTAAGTTCAGGAAGAAGCTGGCATTGCGAGATAAGCGACGAAGAAAGAGACTTCTCTCGCGGAAGAAGCCGGAGCTGCGCGGAGGCGAATAGAGGCGGATAACCGAAGAGTTACGGTGAGACCGTTCCGGAAGAAGAAATAAGGAAGATTCGCGAGAGAAGAGAAAGTTGCTGAAATCGAGTGACACGAAAGAAGAAGAAGAAGAAGAAGGAAATCGCTGAAGAAAGAGAAAGAGAGAGAGAAAGAAGAGCAATAGAAGCTCCTAGTTTCATCCCAAGAGAAGACAAGGACTCAGTGAGGAGAAGTGACGATGCTATCGGCGATCTGATTATTCTTCTTACAACGAAGGCCGATAGTAGTTGATCCGATCAAGGGCGACCTTGAAGAAGATGGTCACGAGGGCGCTGCTGCTACTCTCGCTGGTCCTCCTCGGTGCCTTCAACGCCCCCGGCATCGAGAGACCTCATGTCCGACACCTGGCGATGGCCGGTAACGCCTGCAGCGCCTGCAGGATGCACGAGGAGATCCGCGCGTTGAGTCTGGAGGTCATCAAGGAGCAGATCCTGAACAAGCTCGGCTTGAAGCAGGCGCCCAACATAACGGGCCGGGCCCTGCCGAGGATCCCGCCAATCTCGAAGCTGATGGACATGTACGGGATGCAGGCCGATCAACCGCCCGAGCCTGAGTCTGGTATCATGCATCACGAGGAGATCGACGAGTACGCCGCGAAGACGGAGAGCGTCGTTGCCTTGGCGCAACCTCGTAAGTATCTCCTTCCGTTTCCACTCTTTGCTACATATTGTCAAGCGATGCAGTTCAATTTCATGGTCTTACGGTGACTTGAAACTTCCCGCGTTCTGTCAGGCATTAGACTTTCACTTATTTCTCTATGAGGGGACAGCTAATGATTAATAAACGTTTAACAATTCTTTAAAAAAGTATCAATTTATCATATCCTATTTTGTTATAGAGAATAATTAATACATATCCAACAATGTTAAGTATTATAAAGTACGTATTAATTCTCGGCATATGTATTAAATCAGACCGAATTGTTATGTCACAACTTGATATCTCTGGAAAAGAAAAGGATATTTTCTGATCAAATAATACTACTAAATGGCTTATAAGAGCCTATGCATAGTTATCGTAATGCAATATCGAATAATTCACTCAACGCAATATCATCAATATCGTTTAAACAGATATATTTCAATATTTCAATATTTCAATATTATAAAACGAAACCAAATACTTCGGTCCCAATATTGGCTTCTTTTCCTGTGGCGATAATCGTTACGACAAGTCAAGCAAATATTTACATTCACAAAAGACAAATCGCTGTTAGCAATAATAAAAGGCAGATCGACATTCACGCACAAGTCGCTTGTTATACGCGAAAAGTCATACATAGATGGTCATAAATACCGAGTAAGCCAAGATCATATAAACACATGTTACAAGTTATAACTCAAGAAAATTACAATATGAATAGCAGAATAAATTAGAAACCCCACCATATCTATGTACGTAAATAGGTCTTCCGGCCTCCAAAATCATCAAATCGAACGCTGCATATTCCTCCTCCGCGAGATGTTACAAAGCGAAGTGTACCATTTAGTAGTATTATTTGATTATATATATATATATTATGCAGAACCTCCTTTTATTAGATATTTTGTTATTCATACTTCCTATTTAAACTGTTGCATAATCACAGCGTATGCCCTAAACTATCTGAGCTTTATAAACTCCATGTACCACCCAGGATGTTTTGTTAATTTATTTCACATGAGCAGCGTAGGAAAGACTGTATGAAAGATTCAATTGCATAAATAGAATTTTTGATATCAGCCAACGAATTCTTTTAGTCCATTGACTTTTTTATAATTCCTCGAGGACTTTTACGCCCTGTAATTTATATAGAATTCTACTCAACGCAGCTGATTTTGAATTTGCTCTCGTTGCATTTATATTCGGATATTTTTAATTTCGTACAATTTTCTACGTTCCATAACACGCTTTGTATACCAAAAAGTTTTGTTTCCGTTAATTAAATAAATAAATAAGTAAATATATTAGCAGTTAAAATTTATATATTTCAATTCGATTAATAGAATACTTCGTTTCTGTATAAAATTAACCCGCCAGGTTCAAACATATTAGTTACTGGTTTATCAGTAGTGGTACAAAAGTTTACAAGGTATAACGTTAAAAATCATTGAAATGAAAAACTTGAAACATATAAATACAGAATATATACGCGGTCACGAGCCTGGTGACGAGCGGAAAAACGTATCGAAAGAATAATAATGTCCGGCGCGAAATACAAACACGAGTCGGAGATTTTTTCTTGCGAATTCTCAATCCTGATTCGTAATCTTTGCTTGCTAAACTGAACCTTGCTCGAAATGCTTCAATCTGAATTAATTAAATCAATTATTCGAACATACTAAAGCCGGTAATTATAATCTTAATCTTAATCAAATCTTATATATAATCTTATATTCAAGATCGTCTTAAGTTAGACGCTTTGTAGCCGAATGAAACAATCCGTAGAGTATCTGAAGATGAACTTGAGATGATCTTAAATATAAGATCTGACTGTTAATACCGTCCGCGGTGAGCACATTAAGCATCCTTAATATGAAATTATTAGTCCGGCCGAGAGCCGAATCAGAATTTGTTCGTTTTTCGCAGCAACATTGTTATCCTCTCGGTAGGATTTTCCGCCCGTTCGTCGGAAAACTGACTGTCTGTTTACGCATCTGTTTCAATAATAACAAGACGTCCGCTGTTATTCGCGAGCATGTTCCTGTTAGTAAAAAATATCGCTCTGTACGATGCATGTGTGTAACAAATGCGCCGGTACACGGAGGTTACGTGCGGTGCGTCGTACCGCAAAAGAGGTTTGATTTTTCGCTCGACGAATTATCAAGTGCATTATGCGTTGAATTACTGGTCATCTTTCTACTTTGCGCCGGTTGGTTCGATATGCCGCTGCAAAAACCAGCCGCGTATCTTGGCGGGTGGTAACGTTATCCCAAAGATCATGCCAGCACCACGGTTTGCTCAGAATTAATTACCGCGAGTGGTAATATTTCATACACGACACCGATCATGTTTTCCTTGGCAACGTCAAGTAAATTAACCTCACCGGCTCTCGGGCGATCCGCCCGGCGTGACTCGCGTTATGTACACGCTCGCATGCAACATTGTGCGCGCGCTGAATTGCATCGTATCATCGCCGCTGATGAGCACCTTGTAACTTAATAGTGCCGAAGTAACAATTATATAACTTGCTCTTATACCCCGACATCCATTGCCGTTAACTCCACGATTTATTCGACGAGCGAGCGAGCGAGCGCCGCGATCCCCGCGTCCGCGGCTGTGCGCGTTTACTAAGGTAAACGATCTGGGCGCAGATCTCGGCGAAACGGAGCGGAAGTTCGGGAGTGAATTCGGAGATCTTCCCTCCTGCTCCTTTCTCTCGTGATTCTACACGCGACAGCCCCGCGGATAAACGAGTCGAGACGCATCCGTTTCGGCGTATTTTTATCCCGCGTAAGTGCCCCGTTGTTTGAAATTTCCGATTTTAAATTCGCTCGTGAATACGGAGACGAATATACCCGTGAGAGGGCGCGAAGGCACGACGAAAAGAGGGAGAGGAATGGAAAATAAAATGTCCCGTGAATTATTCGCGATCCCCTCCCTTCACCCTGCAATTTGCGCCTCACCTGTTCTCGGTGTGCCCGGTGCACGCGCTAAACGAACTCTTCGGAGTGCGGTTCTAGACTTCCTTCGATCCTTCGTGCGCCTTCTAACAGTTTCGATTTGAAATTCGATCCCACCCTGTGGCTTCAAGAGCATTCTCGCAAGGCGATAATGGGCCTTATCGACGCTGCTGGGCGCAGGCCCCCTATGTAACACCTTATACTGGGTGTCTTAGCGCTTGAGCATCGTCCCTCGGAACTTTTCCAAGGAAGCATCGCGATTTGCCCTCGCGAGACAACGATAACTGATTATTGCTCGCTAACGCGGTTATCGTATGTTCGCCGACAAGTATCGCAACGAACAATTCCGACGTCGAGTCCTCATCGAAAACACACTTGCGCTCACTCGTCCCGCCGCCGCTCGAAGAATAGGCTCACGGTTGCGATTTTCATCGTGATCGTCGCGCGTCATGCGATTTATAGATTCCCCATAATTGAAATTGCTGGCCACGATTTCTCGGTAATCGAGATTCACGTAATGGAAAAATTATGCGTCCGCGAAATGTTTTCCAACGCGGTACATCGCGAGTTGACCGCGCCGTCGGAGAAATTCGAGCTGCACGACGGCCGCGAGGAGGTTTCCGACAAGGCCGTGTGTCTCCGTGGACACCCTGTATGCACGCTGTGTATAATATACACTTGTTAAGCAGAAGAGAGAAGAAGATCCAAACGATCCGCCGCCGCACGAGTCCCTCGGGCGAAACTGTCTTCGAGCCACTTACCGCTAAGCACGTAATAGTGGCGGTAGGACCGCAACCTGTTATTAAGGCCCCCGTGTTCGCGAAAAAAAAGAGAGGAAAAAAAAGAGAAAAACGAGATCAACGACCTGCTTAGGTGGGAGAGCTCGATGGCGAGAAACCGATCGGGTGCGCTAAGGCGGCCGGTGCCGCGGCGCTCTTTCCGACGAATTTGAATTTTATAGGCGTAATTTCACGTCCCGCGCGCACGTTTAGCCCGAGAGAGAGAGAGAGAGAGAGAGAGACGCGCGATCGCCGTTTGACAGAGTTCAGTCGCGCGCACCGACCATATTGTCGGAAGATTATCGCGGCTCGCGTGATTACGGACACTTTGGCCATTCCCTATAAGCGCGTCGACTTATTATTATCTGTATCGTGCCAATTATGCCTCTATTCTCCGGTAGTGCGATCGGTAGGCGCGTGAGAGAAAGAGAATGTGTGTGAGAGAGAGAAAGGAGAGGCTGAAGTTCCTGCGGCGAACTCTCGCATTATGCTTCGTCGTTGCGTCGGGTGGGTCGCTAATTATGGATGTTGCTTGTAACCGCGACGGAGCGTTACTCGCACGGTTTACGTTAAGAGTAAACCATGAGAATAGCTCGGTTATCAATCGCGAGCGAATGCTACATCGTCGGAGATTAAAATGTACGCTCTCCACGATGCGGTCGTTTTCTCTTTCGTTATGCACCCGCGGCATCGATGAAACGTACCGAGGAGAGTATTAAATAAAATAAAAGAAAAAAAGTTTGAAAAATACTTTCGAGTTGCTCAGCGTTTATTTCTAAAATATACGTATCGGCCGTGCGATTTGTCCGGGCACACGTTTATTCGTAAACAGTTTCGCATGTCGTTCTGAATTTCAAATTCTTCCTCACGCGTCACGAGAGATCTCTCGCGTTCCGCTCCTCACAATGTAACGAGCAATACCAGCTGGTGTGCTTCCTAAATTGATCTCGCTGTTGCAGCACCAGTCGAAAATAAGTCTGCATATATTTAGCATCGCGTAGATAACGAGTGGCGTTGGGTGCACGAAAGTTCGAACGATACACCACGATACATGTTGAAAGTTATCGGTGAGATTAATAGCCGGAACGATTTATTGGAAATAAACATATGTAAGTGATATCTAGTGCGGTGCGCGCTCAACTTGCGGCGTAGTGCGTGTGTCGGGAAATTACACCGTAACGCATCAGACGTGATATCAAATGGTGATCGAAGCGCCAAATTCTACGAGTAGAGAATAGTATCAAAATTG